GATATCAAACATAATTGAAATTGCGTAGCGATTTTAAATATAATATGCATTGATACATACAAATATATATATATATATATATATATATATATATATATATATATATATATATATATATGTGTGTGTGTGTGTGTGTGTGTGTGTGTGTGTGTGTAAAATATATATAGAAAATAAGAAGAACATAATTAAAGAATATAATTATTTGAATGAAATTGAATTAAATACCAAGTTCTGTTCCATCGTCTAGCGAAATTTTTTGGGAATCAAATTCAATTTAATTCAAATAATTATATTGAAGTTTTCGGTTCTTGTTTTGAAGCATGAGAACTCTTATGTAGCGTTGGAATCATATTTTTAAATAAATATTTATATATATATATGTGTGTGTGTGTGTGTGTGTGTATAAAAATATATATATATATATATAAATATATATATATTTATATATACAATATCTATTATATATATATATATATATGCATATATATGTATATATATAATTTCTATATGTATTATATATGCATGTTACAAATTGGAAAATGCTTATCAGTTGCAGAGTAGGTACGTCTACGAAAATGTAAACAAAGAGCATAGCATGATGAAAAAAACGCCGAATTTGACGAAAACAAAATTTTATCGTTTAATGTTCATGTTATTATTAAAGAGGAAAGATCAAAGTATTTTGGGGGTATTTTTTTTACATTTTTTAATCGTTCCTAGCACGTCTGAAATTTTCGTTAAAAATATTGTTTTTCTTTGTCAAAAAAATGGACAGATAATCCATCATTTTCAATCATTTTTTTCGATTTGATAAAAAAGATGAAAATCTGACTTTGATATTCTTTTAAAAATCAATTATCATTTTTTCAAAACTGATTTTAATAAAAACAGAAATTATACTGTTTATTTAAAATATTTTGAACCTAGCTTAACTTAGCTCCTGAGCCGAAAAAATGCAATTTGAAAATAAAACAAAGCAGGTCATAACCTTTCGCGTCTTTTGACAGATGACGAAAGACACATATATATAACTTACGGGAGGATAATTCTTTCTACGGATGGAAGGAAGTGAAATTATTTAAGTGAACAAATTATTTACCTCGTTACTTTTAAGGAAAACTTTCAGCGCTCTAATTTTTTTTTGTACTTAGCTTTCATCTTTACGTTTACGATGCTTTATGGAAAATATAAAGAAATTAAAAAATAAGACTGTTAAGAGTGAGATTAAATTTAATAAGAAAAAGGTATCTAATATTAATTTATATGTACCTTTCTTATGAAATTTTATCAGAAGTGTACATAAAATACTATAATTTTATGTATATTTATTACATTTTATTGTGTTATTTGTATTTCCATTCATTTTATTATTAATTTTGATATTTCATTTATGGAAAAATGTCATAACTGAGATTAATATAAAAATAAGATCATATAAATTAAACTTTAGAAGTAGTTAAATTTCATAAGATGATACTGTTACTTGTAGGTACCCTTCTCAGTTGAAATTGAAAACTCAAATTAACTTCTCCATACGTGTTTCGCAAAAGTGAAGGCCTTAACTGCGGAGAACAATGCTGAACTCAAATAATGCAACTAAATTGTATTCTGGTTGGTCTTCCGTACTTGATAATTACTGCCTGACTATAAACACAAAAATTACATTTCTTAATTAACATGGCTAATCTGATTGGTCCAAATTATACAATTTTCAAAGTGCTAGACAATGACAATCTCACACGGACATTTTGAAAGGTTGATGTTGCTTTTAACTAATGTTAAATATTTTTAAAAATTCAATGTAAAACATTTTTAAATATCTATTTAAAATTAACGAAATAAGAAATAATTGTATTAAAAATTCAATTTTCATTGAAAAATTTTTTTGCTTTCACAAAATATTGTCCATATTCATAAAAACAACTAAAAACAAATAAAAGCATTTGAAATTAAATAATATATTTGTTTTATTGAGTTTTGTATGTCACAATTCAGAGATGATTTTCAGGTACGTTGGCTACAATTAAAAAAAAAAATGATTTGCATTCTTCAAAGCCTTGTGCTTTTAACTATTGTGATCACTAAACCCGATGGTATCGAATTTCTAGAGTTTTTCATAAAATTAGTTATGGGGGTGTTAATAGATATATAAAAAATATTTCAGGCCATGACTTTGATAAAAAGAAACATATTTATAATAATTTCGATCATCTGTGAATAGTTTCTGAAAGTTTCATTAATATCTGACAATTATTTTTATTTTTGCAAGATTTTCCAAATTAATGTGTGTAATACAAAAAAAAACGCGCTAAAAAATTATCTATGTTATTTACTACCCCTTGTTGCGACAAAGAGAAACAAGGTTTTTAAATCAAAATTTAGAATATTCTAAAAGATGGAAAAATTTTAAAAATAATTCAAAAAAAATGGTCTATCCTCTTCATAAAAAAACATAAGCATTTTGACGATAAAATTTTGTTTTCATAAACTTTGGTGTCTTTTCATCAGACTATGCTTTTTTTTAGCGATTTCGTAGAGATACCTATTGCAGAGCTAACATATTCAGTTGTATGGATATGAGTTTGTAACCATGGGTATCATGCTTTTGCTATCATCAAACAGACTGTCTGTTCATCGCAAAATCGTAAAATCCCGGATTATAAAATTATATATTCTCTTCTACACACACACACACACACCACACACACACACATATATATATATATATATATATATATATATATATATATATATATATATATATATATATATATATATATATATATATATATGTATCAAATGTTACAGATTACAGATGAAGTAGACACACATACTTATGAAGTGTATGTTGAAATATTTATTATATACCGTCTTCAAATTTTGATTCAATAAACATGACTTCCATTTAGTCAAATTAGAAAAATATGACCGTACTGGACTCATATTAAAATCAAAATATATAAAAAAAATTAAATTTGTTAAAACTAACCACACAAAATGCCGCCAAGCGAATATAGAACGATCGTAATTTGGCCAAAGAAATCTATCTATCTATCTATCTATCTATCTATCTATCTATCTATCTATCTATCTATCTATCTATCTGAGGCAGTTAATATCTATCTAAGCCTTTTAATTATCTATCTATCTATCTATCTATCTATCTATCTATCTATCTATCTATCTATCTATCTATCTATCTATCTGAGGCAGTTAATATCTATCTAAGCCTTTTAATTATCTATCTATCTATCTATCTATCTATCTTCATGTGTTTCTATCTAAGCCTGTTAATGTCTATCTATCTATCTATCTATCTATCTATCTATCTATCTATCTGAGCCAGTTATTATCTCTCTATCTAAGCCTGTTAATTATCTATCTATCTAAGCCTGTTATCTATCTATCTATCTATCTATCTATCTATCTATCTATCTATCTATCTATCTATCTATCTATCTACAGATAAACACCCATGAACGAAACATTGTAACCACAACGGTTTAAAATAATTATAACAGGCCGTATTCATGGGTGTTTCAAAAAATCACCACCACAACGATTTCATTTAATATCAAGAAGATAATTAGAGAACTAGAATATATGTGTATGTAAAAAGACATGTATACAAGGTGCAATGGTTAATTTTTTTCCATTTTATGTTTTTTAATTTTGCGCATGCGCGTTGTTTTTTTATTTTGTCGAATGCACTGTATAGTAGGGTCAGTTGACTACCATCTGTGAGAAAAAAACAAAAAAACATGACGCAATTGACTCCGCCAGAAATTTAGAAACGGAAGGCTATATTGCTTGGCATTCACGCCGTGTGTTATTATGTCAATCTGAGGACAGTGCAGAGGATTCGGAAAGAGTTGGAAAGTCTAATCGTGATTACTATGGTGTTTGGAGTGAACACTAGTGATGGCGAGGTTATGCTTCCATTCATCTTCACCCGGGGCCTCAGACTCAACACGGCGGCGTACACCAAGTGCTTTGAGGAGTTAGTGCTGCCCAGGGTCAAGAGGGTGGTTTCTGGAGGACCCTATGTCTTGCAACAGGACTGTGAACCATGTCACACAAGCAGGAGAATCCAGTCATGGCCGTCAGACAATTTCTGAGACAACATAACCCCTTACATCTGGCCACTTAACTCTCCAGACTGCAACCCCTTTTGATTATCATGCGTGGGGCACAATTGAGCGAGAGACCAACAAAACTCCTTGTAACACCAAAGATGAACTGAAGGCAAGGATTATGGCAGCAGTCACCAACTTAAACAAGGAGACCATGCAGAAGATCTGCAAGAGATTCCGAAGTCGTCTGGAGGACGTGGCTGAAGTCAATGGCGATTTTATTGAATACATTTATTCTTTAGTATTTACAGGTATTTTTGTGCCATTTTGGTAAATATATCTGTTAGAATGAGATGTCAGTGTTGTTTTCATTTTTTGTTTCATTTAGACGACAATTTATCCATCGCAACCGGTGTATATATGGTTTAGTAAACCGAGACAGTTGTGGCAGCCTAATAACATACGACGCCTTTTGTATGCAATATACGATTACTTTATCATGCGGCTTACACGTGTCAGTTTCATGTTATGTCATAAAATGAACTTGGGAAGGAGATAAAGAGACAGAAGAAACCTTTGATTCTAGAAATGGTTAATAATGAAACAAACATCGTTCTGTTACGGTTTGACCCTCCCTTCAATAGGCATCAGTCATAACGGAATATTTCTTTTCTTTTTTTTTCTTTCTGTTTTTTTTTTTAGTTTTGAACATTGAAATATACGGGAATATAAACACAAACATCTTTTATTCTTTGTATTATATGAATCGGCAAGATGACGGCAATAATTTGGTAATTGCATTCGTATGTGTGGAATCAAGGAACTTTTTGTCTTGACTGAGAATTTTTTTTTTTTTAATCATTTGAACTAAAAAAATGGAACCAATATTTGAGGAAATTTTAAAATTTCATAGATTGTATTTTCTGCATGTGTTATCTATCTTTCTGTCTATCTATCACTTATTTTCATCTATCTATCTATCTATCTATCTATCTATCTATCTATCTATCTATCTATCACCTATTTTCATCCATCACTTATTTTGATCTATCTATCTATCTATCTATCTATCTATCTATCACCTATTTTCATCCATCACTTATTTTGATCTATCTATCTATCTATCTATCTATCTATCTATCTATCTATCTATCTATCTATCTATCTATCACTTATTTTCATTTATCTATCTATCTATCTATCACTTATTTTCATTTATCTATCTATCTATCTATCTATCTATCTATCTATCTATCACTTATTTTCAACTATCACGTATTTTCATCTATATCTATTTATGTATCTATCACTTATTTTCGTCTATCACTTATTTTCATCTCTCTATCTATCTATTTATCTATCTATCACTCATTTTCATCTATCTATCACTTATTTTCATCTATCACTTATTTTCATCTATCTATCACTTATTTTTATCTATCATTTATTTTCATCTATCTATCTATCTATCTATCACTTATTTTCACCTATCACTTATTTTCATCTATCTATCTATCTATCTATCTATCTATCTATCTATCTATCTATCTATCTATCTATCACTTATTTTCATCTCTCTCTCCCTCTCTCTCACTCTCTATCTATCTAATCATTTCACTCTAAGTAAGACAATAAAGCCACTAAAGTGCAAATGGTTACTGAATGTGAGAGTTTATATGAAAAAAAAAAGACAGTGAAATTATAATAAAAGAACAGGAATTAAGAATAGAGAAGATAACGATTAATATTGCATTTTTAATTTTTGAAGAAGATAGATGACTGTGAAGCAAGAAGAACAACGTTCCACAATCGAGAAATGCCAAAGAAGAATCTGTTAGCATAGAACTTGCGGTTACCGCTGGCCATAAAAAGCATAAATAAAATGTTAAAATATAGAGAGAATCGAAAAACCACGACAATATCATATAATCAAAATCCTCCCCCCCCCAAAAAAAAAATTTCTGATCTCGAAAACACGGAGTGTCATTTTAGTCCTGACCATACTAAACTTTAGGTGTTCACTGAAATAGAACATAAATAGCAGATAATAATATAATAATAATAGTAAACCTATTGGTGAGGAAATTAAGTGTACATTAACTGTCGCCGCGTGGTGTTGACCACAGTGTCCCCTTTTATATTTAAATAGGCTCTCTGTTATTGAGCACTTTTTTCTTTTCTTTTTTTAAGCCTTCAACCCCAAGCAAGGCGGGAAGCCACTAGCACGCAAGGGGTTACAGAGAGTTGGAGCTAGAGCAAAGAGGAGTGATAGAGGAAAGGATGAAGAGAAGGTTAGGGGATAGATCAGGGCATCTGGAGACGTCGATTGACATTACATTTGAATAGTTGGAGATTATAGCTATCAGGAAAACAAGAAATGGAGAGGGAGTTCAACAGGCGAGAAGTGTCCTATCCTAAAGAACAAATTTGCTTTTCCAGTAGAGCGGATGCGGCATAGAATTCTTATACACATGGTAGCTAGCGTTCATTATTGCCGACTTCCCTTCTCATGGTCAGATAGTGGATTGTAGAGGCTGGCTTCATATGTCACCATGCTTTTCAGTTTCAAGGAACTGAGAGTTGAGTCCCCACCGCCAACAATGGGCTTGTGGTCTTCGTTTTAAAAAACATAGACAACTGGAAGACAGATACGGTAAGACATTTCCACGATAGTATGTATTTTATCTAGCAGAATTATCGTTCCTACTACTACAGAAGAATGCTGATAGCTTAGGTTCACCTGCTGTCCAAGACGATTTTTTTTTATTCATAAATATATGATACTTTATGTTAAAATTGATGCCAGTAAATCTAAATAAAGACAGAAAGAAACCTGAAACACGTATGACCTTTCTAGAAAACTTAGAAGGAAAATTATACATCCATGGGAAGATAATACTAGAAAGAAACAAACATAAGAGGATAAAAATGGAAAATACCAAACAATTAATAAAGAAAAAAAAAACTAGTTAACCCTTTCAGAAACCGGCATCTCCGGAAAATTGGAAATTAAATTAATGAAACCAAACAGCAGAGACAATATGTTAAAATGTGGAGAAAAGCAGAAAACTGTGATAATATCATGCAATGAAAACGACCAGAGAAAAAAAATCCTGGTCTGAAATAACATTTTGAATCACATATCAACCCCGGCCAAAGTCAGCATAAGATTCCCACATAAACAGAACACATACCAATATTCATCCAGTCTTTACGGGAATAGGACGTTCCGGCGTAGACCATTTGGCGTCTCAGATTCGGCGTAGACCTTCGGCATATTAGATTCGATATTGGAATTTTTCGGCAGAGGACGATTAGGCGTCAAATTACTATTTCATCGTTATAGTCAAATTTGCTCCCCCCTCTCTCTCTCTCTTTCTCTCGTTTAGTAGTCAAATTAGTACTTCGTCCAATTTAAAATGCCTCCAAATACTCTTTCTCTTAAAGAAAGAGTAGTTGGAGGCATTTTAAATTTAAGAAAAAAAGTAGTTTGAGGCATTTTTAAATTTATGAAAGAGTAATTGGAGACATTTTTAAATGTAAGAAAAACAGTAGTTAGGGGCATTTTTAAATTTAAGAAAAAGAGTAGTTGAAGGCATTTTTAAAATTAAGAAAAAGAATAGTTGGAGGCATTTTTGTATTTAACAAAAGGAGTAGTTGGAGGTATTTCTATATTTAACAAAAAAGAATATTTGGAGGTATTTTTTATATTTAAGAAAAGAAGTAGTTGGAGGTATTTTTATATTTAAGAAAAGAAGTAGTTGGAGGTATTTTTATATTTAAGAAAAGGAGTAGTTGGAGGTATTTTTATATTAAAGAAAAGGAGTAGTTGGAGGCATTTTTATATTTAAGAAAAGGAGTAGTTGGAGGTATTTTTATATTAAAGAAAAGAAGTAGTTGGAGGTATTTTTATATTATATTTTCTTCAGTGCAGCTTCATAGTTTTTTAGTTTTATTCCAAAATGGAAGCAAATATTTTATCAAAATGTAGACGAAACAAAGTGATACACGATGGATACCTTTTTATTTTTGACGCAACGAGCAAGATGGATCCTGAATTAAAGTTTTGCCGATGTGAACAGAAAGATCGATGTAAAGTGAGATTATATATGTATTTTTGAAATACAATATTTTAAGTGAAGTTTTAAATTTACATTATTCCATTAGTGTTTTAATACGATCCTTAATTCCTTAAATAAATAAAAACATAAATAAATATTGAAAGCTGAATGTTTTCAATGCTTTTATCCTTTTGGTGGGGGTGCCTCTAGTCAAAGACAGGGACGTTGAAACATTCTAACGCCTAAACAGGTGTGCTGAATAGTATAATTATTTTCCTGACGCCGAATCGGGAACACCGAATCAGCGACGTCAAATGGGTTACGTTGAAACGTTCTAAACCCAATCATTACAAAGTACATCTCCAGACATAAACATTAACGAACCTAGTGATGAGGAAATTAAGAAAACTAATAAAAATATTAGGAATAATAAAGCATCGTTGGACATTGAAATTGTACTTTTGATTATTTTCTCGCTGAAATCAATAAATTCTTTTATTTAAAAAAGAAGTCTGAAATCAGAAATGCACCCCACTAACAAAAAGTGTGGTCTATCACGCATTATGAAAACAGAAATAGAAATGTAAACCTCAAGATCCTCACACATGCTAAGCTATCTCAGTTGAATCCATCATGGTAAAAGTATTAATGAAAATTATATTAAATAGGCTCTCGTCTTTTTATGAAAGTCAGCTCTTCGTAAACCAGTTTGGTTTTCCTTCTGATAAAGGATGGTATATGTCATCAAACAACTCCAAGAAATTGCTTATTTCTCTAACAGGAAACCGTATACTTGCTTTGATTACCTCAGAGCAGCATATGACCACATCAATAGAGAATTCCTCTTTTCCGCCATTAGCAACAGCCTTCCAAGCTCCGAATCCACTGATGAACTGTATCGGTCTACCGAATATTTCATATCTGGCCAGGAAAACAATACTAAACCATTTCAAACCTCATCCGGATTATGACAAGGAAGGAAGGAGAGCTCCAGTCTATTTAATCTCTTTCTAGTTTCTGACCTGCACATTTACAAACACAGGCGTGATGAGATGGTCTACAGAATTTGGTGGGGGGGGATAAGAATGATCTTGAACAGAAAATCAACATCTTCTATCATCCTGGGTATGGCGATAAAGTACATCCGCGTCCTGGGTAAAACGATAAACTTCAACCGATAGTAAGGGCTTTAATCAGGAGGTTTTGAGGCGCGTAGAACCACCTCTTAATTATTGGTGTTCCCAGATCCACCCTGACTTGGGGTGGTAGCACCTGTCAGGGTGCCAATTATGGGCAATTGGTTAACCTCCCAAAAGGGGTCGAAACAATATGAAAATATAAAAATAGGTTTTAATTCCAGCAAAACATTTTGAAAATCTTTTACTAGCAATACATTTTTAGGGAAAAAATATTACCAGCAATACATTTTTTTTAGGGAAAAAAATCTTAGCAGCAATACATTTTTGAAAAAAATATTTCCAGCAATACATTTTTGAAAAAATATTAACAGCAATAAAAAATCTTGTCGGCATCTAATACCGCACTAAGCTGTTGATATTCCCTAAAACAAACCAAAACCAAGTATTCCAATAAATAGGACTCAAGATAAAACTTTCCAAAACAGAAACTATGATCTGGAATTCGATGAGACGTCCCTTAATCCATTTATCTATTATATTCAGTGTTAGCTTAATTTTTTTTTAATAAAGATTACTTCGAGGATCTGTAGTTTTTAATTTGTTATCTTCTTAGTTTAGGAGTGTTGTGTTATCAATCAGTATTTTTCTATACTTTGAATGTGGACGAGAATTTTGGTGTAAATGAATCGCAATGAACGAATGGTCAGACATGTGCAGAGTTAGACGTCTTGATAATGTAGTTGTCGTATATCCAATATATATATATATATATATATATATATATATATATGTTTTTCATTCTGCCAAGGGACATTTGGATTTATATATAATGTTGGTTTTACATGACACATCATTTGGTGAGGAGGAGTGATTGCGATCTTTATTAAAATATTGAAGCCGAAACTGAATAGAATCAGCTACGAATACTGGAATAATATTCTAAAATGCCGAAAAAAAAGGATCGTTTTCACGCTTTAATTCGCGCTCGACCATGACATTCGAGCATAAAAGAAAAAATTCTATAATGGAAAACTTTTTACATTCTATTGAATGCTCAAGCATAACTGTCAGCCATAGCATTTAAATGTAAAAGAAAATAAAAGATCAGTAATGGATAGCTACACATAGTTTTTTACCTTATCAATTGCACCCGTGATGATGATCTCAGAAAGAGATGGAAAGTGCCTGGGAAATAAAAGCAATTCTCACTGTTACAGCGAAGTTTTGGGGGCTTATTTAATTGTAATATATGGAAACAATATGTAAACATATTCGTGAATATGAAAGGATTTTCATAAAATAAGAAGGCAAAATATTTGTAAATTGTTCAAACAGACGTGCCTAAAAGAGAATTTGGATCCTAAACACACACACACACACACACACACACACACACACACATATATATATATATATATATATA